CCTCCACTTTTATCTTTAGCTTTGCTGTCATTTAAGTGAATTTATTTTTTGATTTTAAGCAGCCTAAATTTTTGTATTACATTATATACAAGTAAATAACATGTGCTAGACACAGTCAACAGATCAAAACAAAGCCCCGGGTGAGGCCTTAAAAGCTAGAGTCAGTAAGAACTCCAGTTATCAGGCATGATTTTCTATGGGCATCCAGGCTTGAGTTGTGTTTGACTGGGTGTAAGAGTCATGACTTCAAAGGCAGTGCTGGGGGTGAGAATAATCACAAGTCAATATGAACAATTGTCATTCCTTTAGCCCAGTGGTAGGCAAACTGCGTCATGAGCCACATGCGGCTCTTTGGCCCCTTGAGTGTGGCTCTTCCACAAAATGAGTCAATATGAACAATTGTCATTTCTTTAGCCCAGTAGTAGGCAAACTGCGGCTCGGCAAACCGTGGCTTATGAGCCACATGAGGCTCTTTGGCCCCATCCAGTCATTTGCTATTGGATTGCGTAATCCTCACACCAACCCTACGGAGTAGGTACTATTATCATCCCCATTTATCCATGAGAAATGAGCTCAGAGAGGTCGAATGGTGGGTCTGGGACTCCCAGCCAGGTTTTCTGGCTCCAAATACCATGCCCCCGTCCTGTACGGTTCGAGCTGAGGAGACCCACGTGACTCTAGAGAGCGTGGGAAACTGTGGTGTTGAGTTAAGGCTGAACCCAACGAGGAGGCCCCTGACAGCCAAGCAGCACAAATTTAATGCAGAAGAAACTGGGAGCCATCGAAGGCTTGTGGGCAGGAGTGTCATGATCCAGATGGTGAGATCCATGCATCCGATAGCGAGTGCGCAGAGGTTGGGGCGGTGAGAAGGAGGGAGCCCAGGAGTAGAGATGCTCAGAAGGTGGAGTCTGGAGGAAGCCTGGCCTCCAGGTGACATTGTTAGCACCCACGATATTATTGGCTTTTTCTTGGGATTTAATCATGCTGCCCCAAATTGGAATTAGATACAATTGATATATTCTGTCCCTCTCATTCCCTATCTTTATTAATGAGCCAGTATCCCGGATGTTTTCTCCATGTGGTTTTGTTGTTGTTTTTTTCTCAGCATTTCTGCACTACCTCACCTCAGGACCCTCTCTATAAGCAAAATTGTGATTAAAATAATGCCCTAACATGACAATGAGTTGGGAGAAACGTTGACTTATTATAGTTAATGAACAGTTACTGAGAACCAACTACGTGCTGTTGGGGGGCAGGACTGGGAGAGAGGGTATGGGGGAGGGAGAGGGTTTGCAAAACTGGCTCCTTCTCACCCTGGGAGGGAGAGGATTAGGTGTGGATCCACCCTGCAGGGTATGTCCCACTCTGAGGTTTGCTTTGCTGTGTGATCAAAGGGTGTCTCAGAGAGGCCAAGAGGCCCAGCCTCAGAGGTTAAACCGCTCCTTCTGCTCTGCTGTGGCCGCCCCCGAAACTGGCTGCCCCAGAAGAGGGAGTAGGAGTCTGTCTCCTCCCCTCCTCCACCCCTTATCTGCTCCCCTGGGGCTGCCCTGGAGCGCCCCACCCTCCAAGGGGAAGTCTGTGCTGTGAGGTGCAAGAGGGCACCTGAGTCCAGCGACACTGACTCGCCGTGTGCCCTTGGGCAAGTTATTTCTTGTCTTTGGTTCCTTCCTCTTTCAGAATCAGAGCAGTTCCTTGTAGCTCTGAAGATCTGAGGGTGATTACTGCAGAATTGCATGGTGTGTGTGTGTGTGTGTGTGTGTGTGTGTGTGTGCACATGTGTGAGGATCCTAGATCGTTAGTCATCACATAAACCAATGCAACAGTGGCTTGAACAAGAGGAATTATTTTTC